GAATCTCTGTCCTTGTCTTACACATTACAGGTATAGGAATAAGCTTAGGAAATTCTCGGCCGCTAGATGACGCCACCAAACGTCATTCTTACCGACGCAGTAAACTCACTGGATAATCGCTAATTAGTTATTAATTACTATTCGAATGTTAGTCACAATCTTACTGCATGTTCTGGGCAGTTTACTCTAAATACTACAATCATAAATGTTGACAATTGAAGCGTATTATGTGAAGATCTTCATCCTTTGCTGGGCCTCTGTAAAAAATTATACTTTATCTTCTTACGTCTTGTCGGTAAATAATTAATAAATAATTAACGCGGTGCAAAGTTCCTTCAGTGGTGCATAAGAAAGTAGGGGAAGGTCCATTCTACAATCTCACATTGCAAAGGTTAACAATTTATTCGTAATAGCTTAATTGATAATGTATTCGCCGCTGATTTCATATATATCTTCTCTATCGACATGATGCCTTTAGTTCCTAACTGTTGCCGCTAGATGGCGCACTTTCGGATACCTCCTTTGCCCTCATGCTTCGCGCGTACGTACCAGGAACCGATGAGATGCTTTTTCAAGGAGGTATCACCGGAGAGTAAATTTCTGTCCTTGTTGCAGAGTATTTCTGTTCTTCTCTTGCACATTACGGGTATAGGGTGTTCCTTCCGACGCAGCGAATCCACCAGGTAATCGATAATAACTTATTAATTATTACTCGAATGTTGTTCAAAACTTTACTGAATATTCTCTAAAGTATAGCCTAATTTCCACGAACATAGTTGTTCATAATTTGTCGCTATTAAGTGATGATATTGATTGTTAACCTTTCTTGTATCTAGGAATTCTACATTACCTTCTGACATCGTCAAGAGTAATAATTTTTAAATAATTAACGCGCAACAAAATCTCTTCCGCTACGAAACAGTAAGGTAGGGGAAGGTTCATTCTACAATATTAAATTGCAAAGATTAACAATTTATTCGTAATGTTTTGTTGATAATTAATCAGCTGCTGATTACGTAGATTTCTTCTCCATTGACATTTCGCGTTTGATTTGTAGGTGTTGCCGCTAGATGGCGCACTTTCGAATACCTCCTTAGCCCTGATGCTTCGCGCGTACGTACCAGGAATCGATGAGATGCTTTTTCATGGAGGTGTCCCGTGATAGTAATTGTTTATCCTTGTCGCACGGTATGACTGTCCTTGTCTTACACATTACAGTATAGGGAAAAGCATCGAAAATGACTGGCCGCTAGATGGCGTCAGTATCGATCGCAACTACATCTGTTGCCCCTGCCGAACTGCAACCGTCTTTACATGTATATTTAATGTTCCCTTGCTTTGCGTTAGCTTTTTTATAGATTTCCCGGGGGACGATTTCGACGTTCGACGGCTCAAGGTATTTTATGTTACATTAATCATCTGCCAACTGCTCTTTACAGATATAATGATTAGGCTACGGGTCGGTGCAAATAAATACAAATAAATGAAAAACGTGTTCCTTTTTATTCTCTTCTCTCAATATTACATATTGGTATATGCACGAAATTTCTTATGAACATTTATCAGAATAGTAAACGGAAATCGCGATTTTAAAGAACAATACACGAATACTAACGATGAACACAGTTGACATATATAAATATTAAAATGAAAGAAAACAAAAGTGCTGCACTAGTGGATGTTGGCGTGGGCAGTTGTTCCATAGGCATGTTTCCATAAGCATGTTTCCTTTCAGAAGTAAACTGTACAAAATCGGGGATTGAGCAATTTTCACGTTTGATAATTCGTCTGCTGCTGGTAACGAATCGACAGGCAGAAACCTATACGATCGTCGGCACCTTGTCGAGTTTCGATATAATCAACAGCGAAGTTAATTGGTACCAGCCTTCCAGCAAATGGCTCGGTATAGGACAGCTATAGGACCGCTTTCCTAGCGCCTTCTATCGCGAGACCCGTACACTTCTCGATAATATAACAATTTTATGGATAAATACGTGCAGCCTGTTCATACTGATGCGTATAAATCGCTTGAATACTTGCTCTCCTCGCGCTAGTAAGTCGAATACATTGTTGGAACAAGCCTAGCAGAAGGAACTAGGTGCGCAATAAAATAAAACTGTTGCGTGTCTCGAGTGTCGGCGTTCCTCACTACCTCTGTTCAAGGAACCACCCGAGAGTATTATAGAAGCAGTTCTATGTAATGTTCCATACAAACAGGTCAAAGTAGTTACCGAGTGGGTAACTTTTTGCGGGCGGATTGTCACTAGAGTGCCGCGTGTAACATGGAACTGCTGGTACGCACACAGCCTCTGTAGCAGGGTAGCGAGTGGTCGCTGTTTACGAGTTATTGGCCTGAGGAGAATAAATTGGACACATCTGCTATACAAAATACACGAGCAGATTCGTATATTGTTCGATATGAAAGTCAAGATCAGATCCAAAGATCGCTAATTTTCCATAAGGACAACAAGAAAGGAAAAACCCTAGAACACTTGTAATCTCCCGGTTTGACAGCCCTGACATACAAGTTGCATACTAGGAGGACTATGTTAACCAAGGGAGATCATTTACCGACACCGTATATTTCAATGATAAACTTTTAATCACCATTTACTTTTCATCCACTGTTGCATGACCATCTCATCCTGAAAGTTTAAAATTCTTACGTTTTCGAATTTTCCAATGTTCCCCGCACAGCTTGTTCCCTTAGAAGAACCTGTTTCAAATTTCCTGGTATAGTCGCGATGTTTTCACACCGCCGGTGTAACGTGTACATGTCTGTTGTTGATCAGTTTCTCTAGGTATTTGTCTAATTTTGAAATAAATATCACCTGATATGTTCTCAAACTGTTGACAATGTGTTATTGTATATCTTCTCTAGGACCCAAAGAGAACATAACTTACTCGCTATTTCTTCCTTATATTTTTCATATTTCCACAAGTACGTGTAGGATATTCTTTAACACGTCCGTCTATTTTTAAATGTTCTTAGTTTCTTTCACGTGCGATTGATTCTCTAAATGTTCATGGTTGTCACAGATCTCTAGAAAAACACATTCTTTGAATCTTTTGCTGCATTAGCATTTTATTTTGTACAGTGTAAGCCAATCTGTAAAATTTGAAGTGTTTGTATTACCATTTATGGACAGCTGCTTCGATTCGATTACCTCTGAATATTCATTGTTTTATCCTATAAAGGATTCACATAATACCGTGTGTTCTCTTGTACGTATATTTTCTTCCTCCGACAAGTGGATTCAATCGGACAGCATTCGATTCTTTCTACGAACCTGTTGTATCAACTTTTTACCGATAATTCAAATAATTTTCCGGATAAGAAATATCCTCAGTTTTGGTCAAAGCGATAGATATATTTCCCAGTTGGTTACCTGATATTTCAAGGAGCCAGAAAATACAGAGTAGATTTTTGATTTTTTCGATCGATCTTATTATTGTTCAGCGTACTCCTACTTTCAATCGTATTGCCTCGAATGTAATTCCCATCGATCTTGTTCCTTTTACGCGCGTTTTATGAACTCGACCGATAAGCCACTAGAACTGCTGGTTCGGTGGAGTCCTCTTGAGGTCGATGGAACGGTACGGTAACGGGTATAGTTCGTTCCACTGGTTTCCTTCGAATTGAAAGCTGCGCCGGTGCAGAGACAAGTCTGAGCCGACAGTACTGCACAGTGATGGTAGTCACGGTTAGCGCGACACGTATAATCCTCGATCATTTTCTCAGTGAAGTGTTAACCGAGAACCGTACTTCTATACTGCACTGGTATTCTACAGTTTCGATGCCTAGCGTAACATTACCATGGAATTTGAATAAGAAACGAAAGTGCTTAGTGTACCGCGGTACACTTACCTTTTACAAGCTGCGGAAGTGAAGTGTTGCCAAACGAATGAATCGAGAATGAATAAATTGGTTCGTACATAAAAATAATCAATCGTATTAGTATATTAACGGTGAAAGTTCGAGTCACAGCGGTAACAGAACCGTGACAAACCGTTGTATCGTTTAGAAGTGCGCCCACGTTCACCGTCCGAGATCGATAAACCGTACTCCGTACATCGCTGAAAATGAGCATTCGCTTGCGCACTAAAAGTGTCCAACTTGTACTCTGTATCTTGGAAGAAAGATATCAATGATCGTGACAACAAGGACGCATCTTTCACTTTCTCTTTCTCTCTTTCTCTCAGTCCCTTTCTCTCTCCCTTGCGAAGAGTGACCGAAACGACGGTAACAACGGTGGCGACAGGGACAACAACAACGACGACGACGACGACGACGACGACGA